GCCCGCCCAGACGATCTCGCTCGCCATTAGGTGTAATAGCTATTATCAAATAGATACACTGCTCATTGCTACTCTCAACTTTCTCCCTATTCCTTCACGTTGCGTCATAGTACAACATGGTGCCCAGACCCACCACTACCGACCACTCTGAGGAGACAGGTGACTCCGAGTTCTTAACCTTTGACGAGTTTAACGCCCTAGCTACCGAGGAGGAAGCAGCTCACGAGGCCCAAGCTGATCATCCCCAGGAGAATCTGCCTTCTGCCGGTGTGAGTTCTACCAGCCCTGTTCAAGTGCAGTCCCTATCTCACCCTATTTCTTCTGGTGACATCACTTCTAGTCTACCCCAACCATCCCTCAAGGTGACCAACGGTATTCGCAGTTACAAGATCATTGACCCCTTCAAAGGCGACAAAACCCAGGATATTGTGGAGTTCTTATCCAAGTTCGAGGAAACTTATGGTTTGTTAGGATGGCCAGAAGCTACTAAGTATAATGTTCTCCGTGTTAACATAGAGGGTGCACCCTTCCAAATTGTTGACAACAATGTTCGACTCGCCAAGAATGATCCCGAAGCTTATGCTCAAGCGAAGAAGGTATTGTTGAGCAGATATGCTCCTTCTATTTTTTCCACATGGCAAACTGCCGTGTCTCGAACTCTCTCCGAGGGAGAATCTAGTGGAGATTTTATGTCTGAGTTGCAAAAACTCTTCAAGCAATGCCTGCCCAGTGACTTCTCCGTCTCAGGAGTCGAGCGCAGTAAAATCGTCGATTTTTTCGTTTGCCTCCAGTTCTGGCGCGGTCTACCGTCGTCAACCCCTGGGTTGACAGGATTGAGGCAACAATGGCATGACCTTGGTTTGGCGTCGTTAAAGGGTTGGCGGCGTCTTTCCCCCTTTCGCTATCAGAGCATTGAGTCGCACTCATACGGCAACATCAATGGTGGTAGTAGCACCGTGTTACACCGCCCGCAAACTCGACATCCTCCGGAAAGGATCGAATCGAGCTAATCCCGAAGATCCCGAAGTTCGAGAGTCAATTTGGGTCTCGAGAATTTAAATTTGAGATACTCAAACTGGAAGCCATTCAGACTTTGAGTGCGCGATTCCTTCAGGTGAAAGCGGTGCGTGCGCCGG